CCTGCTAAAACAAAGTTTGTGAATTCAGTTAAATAATTGTCATTTGTGTGTTTTTAGCTTTCTTCCTGTATGGGAAGCTTTTCAACATTTGAAACATTAGTGCAGTGGTTTATGTTAAAATAAACCTTTGGGTTAAGTTGTCGCAAGCAGGTTTTTCTTGTGTTTCTTGTGAATTTGGTCTTAAATTTTTGTTTCAAGTGGCATTAAAAAGTCTTAAAAAGTCTTGAATTTAATTTGCCTTATGCTGTAGGAACCCTGGGATGGAAAATAACATTCAGTCCACGAAACTTAAATTAAAAATAAGTAAATTTAGTGTGGATTAAAATAAAGGCCATCAGATAATCCAGTCTAGACCCTAATTTGCCGTCACGTTAAAATCTGTTTAAACATTGAGATGAAAATCCAAGTATCCATTACAGAAACAAACAGAAAAGTATTGCTTTCACCTCTTTGCTTTGTTACCATCTCATTCTGCAGTGGATATCAAATAAACCTCCACAAACTCTTAGAGGTGCACTGAGGCTTCCTTCAATTTGGAAAAAATCAAATGCTCTGTAAGCGGTAGCTTATAAAACAACCTTTGATTACATTCTGTAATTCTTTAACATCACTTTCCTAGGTTTGAGAAGCCCTACCTTTATCATTTTTTTTTATTTTTTTTGTTTACAGATAGATGCTTTGCTTGTTTGCTTCATGCATGTTAATATAAAAGTCTACAAAGTGACACAGACATCACCTAAGACGTTAAACACGACGCCTTCCTATTTCCTTTCAGAGGGCGGGGTTTGGTGATGTCACAGTGTGAGGTGTAGCTTCTTTTATCAGTTGTGCATCAGTCGCTGCAAGCTTGGTTTGCTTTTCTTATCTAAACTCTGTGAATTTGAGTCTCCAACTCAAACGGAAAACAATGAAGCCTTTTCCAGGTGTCAAACCAGCCTCCATCTTTGATTTATCTATTGTTGCATTGCAGCTCTGTTCATATATGCTGCTATTATCTTTGTTTTTATCTCATCCTTTTGATTCCTCTGTAGCGTTTCTTTGGTTTAGTTTTTTAGTTGTTCAGAGTTTGATTCTGATTTTAGGTTTGTGGAAATTTCACAAACATAAAAAGCATCACATTCAGATCTTATTGTTTTGCCTTTAGGTTGGAATTTATTTGCTTTTCTTTTACACAATTTTCCACAGAAATCAGTAAAAAGTAGGAGAACATTTATATTTAATCTTTATGGAAATGTTTTCTCTTTAAATTCAATTCAGGTTTATATATATATCACCAGTTCAGAATAGCTAAATTTAATGGTGTTTCTACTCAAGTCATAATGAAAAATGATGTTAAGTTTGAAAAATGAAAAAGTTACATCAAAATGTTGGTGTTTAAAAGATCTGTAATTACAGAATAACAGTTTATGGTAATTTATTTTATATGTTTCTGAAATTAATGCTGAATTAAAAGATACTTTACCAATATTACGTGTAAAGAAAATGGTTAATTATTTCCAGTAACTGGTTCACAATTTACTTCCTGGGTCTTCCTTTGGTTTACAAAGAAAGTTTTTGCACCCCTGTCCTCCTCCAGTCGCCCCTCACCCTTTTTAACAGGTGAAGAACAAAATGTACACTCACACATAATGACATATTACAATAAAATAAGCTACTATTAATATTTTTTAAACGTCAAAAATCCCACCTTAAAAGTGTAATTACATTAAATGTAAACATATTATTTAACTGTGTAACAGATCTAAACTTTTATTGCTTTAATTATTGGTCAATTATTTAATCACTTTCTACTGTTCCTCTGCTAACCGCTGCATTATACTGTTAACTTCATGATTACTGGACCTGCAAATAATATTGCAAAATCAGCAGATAGAAAATAATATTCACTCAACAAAAGTTGAATTTTAAAAAAGTCTAATTGAAGCTGAAAGACAGTCTGGTTATTTTTTATTTAAAACAACTTTCATTGAGTGAATATACTCAGTGTGAATAGAAAAGGCAGACATTATAAGAGTAAAAACTGTAGCAAACTATTCCTCAAATAAATGTTAGTAGTTCCTTCCCACCTCTATTGGTTCAAAGTTTTCTGTCTAAGGAAACCAGCTGATTGCATCCAAACATTGAGGAGGATTCACTCCTCCTAGATGGTGCTGTTGACTCTACAGCAATCCCTTATGTTATGTTTATGTTTTATGCATTGTTATTCTGTTAGCCAGATTAGAGAGAGTAGTAGACATTGTGGATGTCACTGTGTGTACGGAGGTCATCTAATCAGGACAGCCTTCTTGTCTTTTAAAGATACACAGGATATGGGCACATCTTGGAGCCGGTCTGCTAGAGGAGAGCTATCTGTAACACTGAGGCATAGAGGCAAGCTGCATACAGGTCAGGGCATTGATGGCGTGTCAGTTTCTGATACGGACAGCTAAGCATCCACCTGATCCAACACATAGACTTATGAGCTATAAGAAGCAGGTGATGACCTTGTTCGGAGCTCAATCTTTGCCGGACGCTCGCTGATGTGATTTTTGAGCCCACAACTGTGCATAGCTCCAAGCATTTTCTCCGTCCTGTAACGACCTGATCTGGAATAAACTCTTGTACTTTTTTACTCCTGTTTTTATAGTCCTTTTTATATGATTTTACCCTGTTTGAGTTAAGAGTAGTAAATAACTTGCTCCCAGGAAAAGAACTGTGAGGAAGCCCCCGGGGCGCAACAGCCTTTTTTAGGGGACATAACTTCCCCATTTAACACTTACCAAGCATGCATGCAGCGACCATGGAGAGAAAAAAATCCCTTTTAACTGGAAGAAATCGGGTTTTCTCTTAATTCTATAACGTAAACCTTTTTAGCTGGACTGATTGCTAAGTGGTTTACAGAAAGCAAAGGTTGCAGACTCCTTGATGAGTCGTGTTGGTCTTCCCTGCATGTATTCTGAATCCATTTAAAGTTTACTGATGACATACAATATAAAGATGTAAGATGTTTGTCAGAACACAGTCAGATCACTATAGTTATGGTAATGTTTAGTTTAAAAAGTTGCCTATTTTTGCAGCATTTTTCAATTCAACATAAAACGCATTTGATAGAAAAGTGTTAAGCTGCATATTTCAAATGTAGATGCAGTCCAAGCATGAATAAATCCCCAGAAAGGCAGAAAATATCCAATGACTTACCTTCGGTTAGAGGAGGAACTCTGCAGACCGACGTTGCTGCTTTCTGTCTGAGGATCAGCCTTTTTATGCAGACTTGGTTCAAACCCCTCCTCCAACATTTTGGATGATGACATCACCACGGGAAAAGATCAGTGATAAACTCTGCCTCTTATCATAAAGTTTTTCCTGTTTTTCACTGATTTTATTTAAAACATTTTAAAATCTGTGAGTTTTAAATAATAATTTAAATAATGATTTTAAGAAGCAGGTTTTTAAGGTCAGGACACACCCTGCTGTGCCTGAGAAGAAATCCTAACAAAGATGACATGATATCACCTTTTTTTTTTGTTTTTTTGAAATACTCGAGAAAATGGGTCAGATTGAAGTTGTTGATATTTGATATCTGAGACTATTTGAAAAATCTGAAACGTCTAAATGACGCCCCGACCTCACCCTGTTCGTGAACACATTGACCTCCACCTGTCCTGCTGCTCTCGGTGCTGATTGGCTGATCTCGGACCACAGGCTGCAGGGTGGCTGCAGGATGGCTGCCCGGGCATAAGGCATAGCTCCAGGTCAAAGGTCACCAAATGATCCCGCCTCATTCGCCACACAATCGCTATGAGGAATCATTTTGACCAGAATCAGGGTCTAAGCTTTGAAGGACGTTGTTCATGAAGTTTTTACGTGCGTTCTCCTTCAACCTCCTTAAACATAATCATGTTTTTTTTTGTTTCTTTAATTGGTTTGTCACAAATGTCAAACTTGGAAGTTTAGAGAGACCAAATATAAAAGAGCTCCATTCTGACCCTGAGATCAGGATGAAGTTCCCCACATAATTATTATTCAAACCTCTTATGCTGCAATTTACCCCTTACAGATGGAGTGCCCGCCTATACAGCACTGGATTTTTTAACTATACATTTAATTTGATAGCTGGAGAAAATATCGCTATATGCAGTGATGTTGCAATATCATGATAATATTGTTTCAATCTGGAAAAA